CCCACAGAGGTCTTAAGGGGAGTTCCAGTTGGTACAGAGCTGGAGGCAGGCCAGAGTGGGAACAGGAGGACCCGTGCTGCGCTTGTGGAGCACCCACACGACGCTCCTTTCACAGGTGGACATTGAGATCAATGGGGAGCCGGTGGACTTGCGCATGAAGCTGGGGGACAGTGGGGAGGCCTTCTTTGTCCAGGAGCTGGAGAGTGATGAGGTAAGGATCCCCATCCTAGCTCATTGCCTGCCCCAACTCCCTCACTGGTGCTGTACCATCAGTATCCCTGCCCTTGGGGACAACACTTGGGGTTGGCCTCAAGTCCTCATGATATGCTGTCACAGCACTGGAAAAGAGGGCTAGCTTAAGTTTATTCTACTTACTGGGAAGTTGAGGCAGGTCTCTGAACGGAGATCTCTGAGCTGGAACCCTGAGGGGTGGAAAGGAATCATCCCTGGGAAGCTTGGAGAGGATCCTGGTGTAGGGATGGAAAAGAATTAAGACCCAGCTTGTTCTAGTCCACTACCAGTTCCAGGCAGCTGGAACACAATGTGGAAGTGGTGGGGAAAAGTGGGGTGTTTACAGAATGGAAATAGGGCCCAGCTCAAGCCAGCAAGAGTTTAAACCAGTTGAATGTGACAAACTTTAACTGAGCCCCCACTGTATGCCAGGCACTATGCAGCAAACTGAAACAAGCAGTGGCCCCTTCCTTCAAATAACTTCCAGTCAAGTCTGGAGGACAGGCACATGAATACACAGTGATGTAGCCACTTGGTCATTGCAATGCAGGGGTCCGGAACTGTAGTCTGGGCAACTTCCTGGAGGAAGTGGTGCCTGGTGCTGACAGGAGGCAACAAGAAGCTAAGGCCCAGGTTTCTACCTGGCCTGATGGGGCATATAGTGACTCCCTGGATTGGGTTGTTCATCCCATGGAGCTCTGTGATCAGTGTGGCTGCATGGCCACCCCTGCTTAGCCTCTGTGCTTACTTTCCTGTCCATAAATGAGCTCACTGTGGGACTCCAGTCTTCTCCTATCTGTCCCTTGGCTCCACAGGAAGACTTGCCTCCCCGCCTGTGCACCTCACCCATCCCGTGGGGAGGCCTGTCTGGCTTCCCCTCAGACTCCCAGCTGGGCACAGCCAGTGAGCCTGAGGGCACCATCATCACCGGCCGGAAAAAGAGGAGGCGCAGGAGGAAACCCAGGCGGAAGGAGGATGCAGTAACAACAGATTCTAGTTCTGAAGAGCTGGAGACAGGCACTGAGAACGAGCTGACTCTACTGGAAAAGCCAAAGCCAGAGCCCCCAAGGTGTGCAGGGACCAGGTGGAGGCTGCGGGGAACACCAGCCTGGGTCTAAGTGCTGTTTCCTCTGTTGATGCTGTGCCACTCTGGGCAAGGACATTGACCTCTCTGGGCGTTAGCTGCTTTGCCTTCCCAAATTCTGATATCCAGGCTCCCATGCTCTGCATGGGATGTTCTTGCCTATCAGTGACCGTTTCCCTGTGGTCCCTCAGCAGTGCTCAGGAGGAAGGGATGTCCTCACCACAGTCCAAAGACATCTACCCATATTCTGATGGCGAGTGGTGCCCCCAAGCCAGGTGAGCATTCGGGTGGATGGAAGCTGGTTTCAGGTTACATCTTCCTGATGACTAACACCTTAGAACCCACTCCCTGGGTTTGTTGTCCATCTGCATTTCTCTTTTGTAAATTGTTCAAGTCTTTTGGCAATTCACAAAAGAATTTGGGCAGTGCTAAGGATTGAACCCAATTTTTAAATTATGGCAAAATACATGTAACTTGAACTTAACCATTTTAACCAGTTCAGGATGTACAATTCAATGGCATTTAGTCCATTCACAGTGTTGTGTGAGCATCACTACCCTCTAGTTCTAGAATTTTTCATCAGTACCAGACGGAAACCCTGTACCCATTAGGAAGTCACATCTCAGCCGAGCATGGAGGCACATGCCTGTAGTCCCAGCACTTAGGGAGGCAGAGGTAGGTAGATCTTTATGAGCTCAAGGCCAGCCTGGACATACAATCAACAAACAACAATGAAAATCCATCTCTGGGGCTGGAGAGGTGGCCCAGTGGTTAAGAATATGCCTACTGTTCAGTTCCCCACACCCATGTCAGGAGGTTTACAACCACCTGTAACTCTAGCTCAAGGGGATTCAATCCCCAAGCACCACACTCATGTGCACAAGCCCCTACATAGACACAGACATAAATAAATCTTTTTTCAAAAAAGCCACATTTTACCCTCCTGTTTGTTTCTACTCTTTTTTTTTTTTTTTTTTTTTTGTTTTTTTT